TTTAATCATAAACAATTAGCTGCTTTAGATCCATCAAGTAAAAAGACAACTTTCTGAAATCCAAGATTGTCATATTCTAATGTAATAAAACTAATGAATATGAAAATTCTAGTTTTGATATCATGATTAAATTAGTAGTAATATGATACTTGTTTAGAATGAATTGACTTTTAAATAGTATGAAATAATAATAGTTTGTTTAATTCAATACTTAAGGCAAATATTTCAAAACACAACTGAAGTAAAATGAAAATTTTATTAAAAGCTGCCATATTACAATGTTTTTTATACATTTATAGTTTACAGGAAGATTATAGTTTATCAACTAAGTTTTCTAAAATCCCGTACAGTTTCTTTCTCACTTCTGCTTTTTCCTCTCGTCTCTCATCCATCTTATTAGTTAAAATTTTAACCCATTCAGGCACACTTTCTTCTCGTTTTCTTTTATTTCTTCTATTTGAAGGCTCTGCAGTCATTGCAGGTGATGATGAGTTATTTGATGGTATCTGTATTAGACTAGAAGACGATGATGAATCACTTGATGGTACCTGTATTAGATTAGAAGACGATGATTTATTTGCTGGTGTCAGATTAGTTGACAACGATGACATCAATCCTCGACTGCTATCGTACGTGGCAAGTAGAGTTACATCTGGTCTTCGCCCTATTACGTTCTCCATAATACTGAAGTATTCCCAATACTTCCTGTTGTTTCCCGTTTTATTGTTGTGATAATTTATTATTTTAAATGTTTTTTTAATCCTCTCTATTTGCTGTCCACTTGTTGAATTGTCACCATTAACTTACCTGTGGAATTTAATTTATCACAAATTATTGCCCATACCTATAAATGAAAATTTTCAGCTGTTATTTCATATAAAAAAGTTTAGAAACATTTTCAATAAATTAGCTGACAATCTCTTAGTCATATTGTATTTAGGGTTATTTTTTCATTTTTTGCAAAAGAACATCTTTAACAATAGTTGAAAATATAACATAACTGCATATAGTGATTATTCAATTTATTTGGAGCAAACACAAAACGCATCTTACTAAATAAAATAATAGAAAATTAAACAATTACAAAATTAATACACAACTGCTTGTCTTTTGTACACAGTTGAATGAAGTATGAGTAGATAATGACAATTTTCCTAAGAAATAATTAATCTATAATAGTTGTCCTGTCAGATTTAAAGAAACTGTGGAAAATGTTTCATATATAACTTTTTTAGAAAAATTTAGAAAAAAATAGTATTTACTTGTTTGTGAGTATAACGTGGTGAATCAAATTTTTCTTTATGTTCCTTCACTAATGATATTAAATTCAATATTGCCCAATGAGGCCATTGAAAGGTGCTACGGTCATAATCGTCTATTTCTATTATTAAAAAGAATATATGTATATATATGTCAATGATTTGAAACTGTCTAATTTAAATGTTTATTTAATATTTTAATATTTCTCTTAATACATATATATCTACATATAATACCTGGATTTACTGTAACAGATACATTTTTGGTAACCACGTTTTCTTTTTCTTTGTTATTTTCAATTGTATCTACACTTTCTGAAGAAACAATTGAATCAAACTTAATTTTTTTCAAATTGACATCTGCTGGTAATCTGAGTTTTTCCTTTATACCATATTTATATATCAATTTCTGGAAGAAGGCATCTACCGCTATTGAACCTTATAAAAAAAAGTGTATAGATCATTTCAAACCTTTCATACAATAAATAATTAAAATTTACCATTAGAAATATCTTCTGCCATGTCTTTTCACCATTAACAGTTGTAATTTCGTTTGTTCGTACGAGAAACACACTTTTGTCATGGGAGCAGCCATGTTGAATCAATGCCAAGCTCGACAACGAACTTCTTTTAGCACATCTGAGCAACGCCATTTTATTATTAACACATAATTAATTGTTTTGTCACTTCGAAAAGCAGGCACCACAGTTTGACGAACTTTGTTATTTACGCTTTCGTAACATCGTAACGTTCTATACTTAAAATCTGAGTTAATATTTGACAAGGACGATTTGTTTTTCAGTATTAACTTTAAATTTACAAACCTATGTTTTATATAACTAATATCTCTAATCTTGTATTATTTAATAACGGTATTGAATATATTACAGTAGATTCTCGTTAATTCGAATTCAGAGCTAAAGTAACTCTCTACAAAAGATCTAATGCTTTATAAGTGTGTTAAAAATTTTAACTGTTAAAAAACAAATTCATTGTTTATAGACTGAAGAGAATTCCGATCTAAAATGCATTTAAATAAAACATCTGATAAAATATAATATAAGTATTTCGAGACATATTACGACACAATTTATTAGCAAATCAAGTTTATTTAATTATTTAAGTACACAGAATAGAAAAAAATTAGTACTGTACATTTAATTAAAGCTTCTGTTTACAGTTTTTAGTCTGAGCTAGTTTTTTAAACAGTACTGTAGTATTGTTGCTACTTTCATGGATATACATGGACATATCCACGTACTCGGAGATAGCACTCCGAGCTTACCAATTTCGCTAAACATGACGTCAAATAGCTCTAAAGTAAAAGCCAATGAGCGTGGCACTCGGACGAAAGGATACAGGCTGAGTGTGCTGATAGGGTGCGTTTACTTCTGAGCTAATTTTACTATGTTAATGTGAATTGGACGACTGACGATCCAACAATGAAACATCACTCACGAACTTTCCTGAAGGGGCTTATCCGTACTGTAATCTAATTTGCAGGTGTTACTATACAATATTGAACATTATTCTTTATATGATAGAAGTCATTCTTGCTGAATATTAGTCATAAACAATCCAAGCACAAAATAAAATACGGGGAATCCCTACAAGTCAGTACAGATGGTGTTGCCAGTCGTTACAATGAGCGAGATGTCATTATTATACATTCATTTACAGAAAGGAAGGGGATTACCCAGTTTTGTCAGAATCAGTAATGAAAAATTCCGTGCTCATTTTAATCGGTCCGAATTGTAGGTGCAACAAAATGAAATAATTCAAATTTTTATAAGATATTATTATTTATTGTAAAATTTTGCCACCCCCTAAAAAGTGCTGCCCGGGATGGGCTGCTCCTGCCGCCCCCACTACGCTACGCCACGCCACTGGTAATGTGTTAAGCCTTGTATCCCTTTACTTCCTCAGACACTTATTGAACTATTCTCAAACTAATTAGTAGGATACACGGAAATTTTGCAATATCCAGAAGATTTTATACAGAAGCACACGCATGAATAATCCCAGTTCCATGATGAGACACGACTGACACTTGTTAGTAGCTAGTTGTTATATTAAAGCGAAGAAATTGGGATAGCACTTCATATAGTCAAGAGAAAGTGTCTTTATTGATGCTGGGAACTAAAATGAAGATATATTCCTGTAACGATAAGTTACGTTGAACACTTTAAAATAAGTAGAGTACACCTACAGAGACTGAGTAAACTTTATTGTCAGTAACAACAGTAAGAAAGAACCACGTAAGTATGGTAGTCTCTAGCACGAGGTCTCGCACAAAACTGCTGGTAAACAAAGGAAATCTTCCACGTGTAGTAGACCAGGCTCAGCGCTATCTATCGGCGGTCATGCCACACATCTGACCGACACTCGCATATGACAATTCCAGGTGTGAAAGTTGACAGACAGTTGACAAAGTTGATATTATGATGTCAGAATCTGGACCTCAGCATAAACGAATTAACATCACACTAGCCTTTCCAAAATCGTGCTTGTTCAGAGCATGCAAGATCGAATTTAATTTAATTAAAAATTGACAGGGAAGTTGTTGTGGACAAAATCAAAAATATATACACTTTACAGATATAAAATTATATCCCGTACAAAAGCATGTCATGGATTCTTTCTAAGGCACATGTGCCTTAAGTAAACAACATCAGAATTTTTTTTACTCTGTCTCTCTTGTACTAATTCTAGTAAAGCATAATTGGGATGGCAAGTTTCTTATATTTTGGATATGATTTTCACATTTTTACAGAGCTGTTTGAGTTTAATGAAAATATGAGCTCTCAATTAATCCAGATCTCATGGATGTAATTGAGTTGTTTATGGTAACTTTAGGTATGCTTTTTTTTCAGGATGGTTATCCTTTGACGAAAGTGTTTTTATTATCATTCTGTGATTGTTTTAGTTATAATTATATTTTTGGTTATTTAATTTGTTTCAAGAATTTTAACTAATACTTTTTTAAATTGTATGAGAGTGAGTCAAAAAGTAAGTGTCATTTGTACCAAAAGTAAGTGAAACATACAGGTGAATTAGTGATATTGATAATTTCACAAAAAGGTTCTTTTATTTGAGATAATTTTTCCATATTTTTTTCATATTTGAATTCATCCTCCTTGTCTATTACATTTGTACAAATGAAGTAGACATGATACAAATATGTACTAAAATATTGAAAAAGCATGTAACAAATTGCCTGAATATATTCTGAAGATGCTGTGGACTGGCTTTTTATATCAAGGGTTATATTCTAAATAGCCCGTTAAGGAAATTTTTAGTGTAAAAATGAAAAGTAAATGATAACTTTTTGTATATTTAAAATTTTTTACTCTTTCAATAATTTATCTTCTATTTTTAGCATCATAAATTCAATATTTATTATGACATGATGCTTGTCTTTTTTATTTAAATTCCAAAGTCTGACATTTAGACTTTTACAAAATAAGTCTATTCTGTCTTCTTGTTTAGTTTCAGTTAGGAGTTTGGATGTTTCATTGAAAGTTTTCAATGCAACATCCAACATGTGTTCACTTTTTTTCGATGTTTTCTGTTTTTTCTTACTGGCTTTTTTCTGGCTTTCAGGCATCTCAGATGTCTCATCTCTATAATAATAACAGCAGTTGTTATTATCTATTTCAATTATTTGTTATAAATTTAAAATATTGTACAATTTCACTTACATTTCACAAAAAGATTCTGTTCTGTCAGAAATGTTGTTGGCTGATTGGTTCATCGTTTCCTATAGTGCTGTTAAAATAAATTGCCATCATTATTTTTTGATAAATGATTACTACACTAAAATTTTATTTAATGGTTTTTTAAGTAATGTACTATTTTAATATTCTAAAACAACACTGATTATTCAATTCTATGTTTGAACTAAAAAATTAAAATACTAGCCATTGCAAACTACTACTATCAGTTTTATTAATATCTTAAATAAATTATAAATAAATTATAACTTATAATCATCGTACCTGTCTGCCTGTAATAAAACTGATCCGAGAAACCCATCAATGTACTTAAATAAACTCCAGTTTGTGATTTATTTGCTTGCGCCAACGATCGATCTGACATCTAGCGGTATTAGCGTGAACTACATAATGGCGACTACTATGGGTATAATGCAAGTCTGTGGTCAGTAAGAATTAAAAAGTGTTTAACCTACAATAATAAATAATAAGTATTGCTGTGTATTTGGATGTACGTCTAAAGGTACATCAAACTCAGTACATATGCACACATTTCCAAAAGATAAATTAATGAGAAAAAAGTGGGAAATAAAACTGATGTTAGGAAAGCAATCAACGAAATCTACGTACATTTGCAGTTTGCATTTTGACAATGATGATTACTATTTGCCAGGTAATAACAACATTTCTTATAAGTATATTTTACCTATTGTCACATATGGTACTTACATTTTTATAGGTTTACCATGTGCTCGTCATTATTTAAAACCTAATTCGTATCCAACTAAAAACATACCGATAAGGAAGTTTGATATAAGCACCTCAAAACAGATTTCTGAGCAAAGGTCCATTCTTGCCCAAAAAAGACAATTAAGAAACAAACCTTTATTCCGTATTTCTTTTCATATTTGAACTATTGCAGTCACCAGAAGTAATAAAAGCTTTATAATTTGTCAGATTCATTTCTTTAATAACGCTATGCCAAAACAAGATCTTATAATGATTGAAATCAAAAAATTTTTAGGTTTGGAACCGGAAAATAAGAAAACTTTCATCAAGGAAAAATCTCCATATCAACCTAATAATGACACTAATATTTTGGAACTGTCACAGCCCAGTACATCCTGGTCTAAATCATGTATTGACTGCTGTGCATGTACAGATCAACAAATGATGTCATATCTTTATCCTCCTCTATTTGTGATATCAGTATCACAAACAGAAAAAGATGCAGCAATGGCACTCTTAAGTTAAGTGAAAAATCCAACATTCAGGAGGAGAGGGATATTTTAATGGAAAAAGGAATTCAAGTGAATACATTTTTAGATTCAACCTTAAAATTTACTGTGTTTGACTTAATAAAATCAAACAATGAATTGAATATTCTCACAGGTTTAAACAGTTTTAAAATGCTTGATACCATCTCTGCCTGTGTTAGTGAGTTGCAGTCCAACAATACTGCCTGTAAGCCTACTACATTATCTACTAAAGTCAAAATTGTTCTTGTTATGATGCAGGTAAAACTAGCTTTGTCCTTTGCTTGTGTTTCAGTTTTATTTCAAATTTTCATATCATGTAGAAGAATATTTTTCAATATTATTGCTTATCTGAGTCAAGTATTAGGTGCTGTGATTGTGTGGCCTTCCAAAGAAGAGATAATGAAAAACTTACCTTTGTGCTTTCAAAAATACAGGAAAGTTTGTTTGATTTTGGACTGCACTGAAGTTTTGGTTGAAAAACCAAAGTATATTAGTTGTAGAATATTAACTTACTTTCATTACTATGGTAAACATACTGTTAAAGTATTAGTTGGAATTGTCCCATCTGGACTTCCTCCCAGAGATGGTTTAGAAACTCTTCTCTACCATCCCTGGGATCTGAACGCCCACCCACGTGTTTGCCGTGCGTGGTGTCTCGTATGCCGGAAAGGAGGATCCTGGTAGTTGAGGGGCAACATAACGTTCCCAACACACTGCTTCGGCCCCTGCTTCGGATAAACGGGAGGCTCAAATCAGGCTCCGTTTGAGTCAATCGGCTGGTTGTTGAGTCATTCTTGACCTCGGCTTGGAGTCAACCGATCGATGCAGATCGGGCGGACATGTCAGACAAGATGTGCTCTTCTTGACTGCACTGTGAGGGTATAGCTCCTGGGAAACTCTGGTGTGACGGTCTATGGGAGGCTCCCATGTGACGGCATCTTCTTGTTGGGCCCCATGGTGGGTGGGGTCACTGGGAGCTGAATATTTATTTTTAAATATGGATTTTCAAAATACAAAAATTCCAAACAAGCTAACAATGACAAATGAAAAGACCTCTAGTCAGCCAGTGTACTTAGTAGTCCACGCAACTGGAGAAAAACCGTTATATAAGTGTTCCCATTTTTGATCCAAAAATTGTTTGAATCAACTATTGGGCACTTAAAGAAAATACAGAAATTGAGGTCAGGTGACCTCCTGGTGGAAACAGCCTCTACTCAACAAACAACAAAGCTTTTGTCAATGAAAACACTTGGAGAAATGGGAGTCTCAATCACATCACACAAAAGTCTAAACTCATCACGTGGTGTGATATCTGAGATCGACCTAATGTCTGAAGATGAATCAGATATTCAGATCGGTCTTTCAGATCAAGGCGTCGCTGCTGTCCGACGCATCTCCATCCGTCGAGACGGCAAGTTAATACCAACAAAGCATTTAATTGTTACATTTGACCAGCCAACATTGCCATCCTTCATTACTACAGGATATCTGCGCTACCTTGTTCGTCCTTACATTCCAAATCCGCTGCGTTGCTTCAAATGCCAGTGATTTGGACATTCACAAACATCCTGCCGAGGCAAAAGTGTATGTGCACAGTGTGGGACTGAAGACCACGACAGTACCGAATGTAAAAGTATCCCATGCTGTGTGAACTGTAAAGATGCCCATCCTTCCTACTCCCGGAAATGCCCTGCGTGGCAGAGAGAAAAAGAGGTGCAACGGATAAAAACCGTAAACAACGTATCATACACAGAGGCCCGTCGCATGGCCACCCCAAGTGCAACAACGAAACAAAAGACCTTTGCTGCTGCGTTGAAGTCTACTAAGACATGTGGGGTTCAAACAGATATTTCTGTCTCCCCAAAAGAATCTCTCACTCGACACGCAAAATGTTTGCTGACCCAATCAAAACAAACCGAAGAAAAGGAGAGTATCAAGACAAAGACACCCCTACCTAAAACAGGGGTAGTAACCAGAAATGTGGGTTCTAAGAAAGCAAATAAGAACCCACTTAACAAACAAAAATTAAAAGCAGCTCTCTCTAAAGCTAAAAGATCAGAGACTCAGTCCATGAGTGAGTTCTCGGATATCTCTGATGAAGAGCCTAACATGGAGGTGAAAAAACCAATGTCACTCCCAAAAGATAAACCCCCTGTGAAATTGAAGAGGGATACTCTTGCGAAAAATGCTGCCTCAAACACATAATGGATTATAAAATAATCCAATGGAACTGTCGTGGTTTTCGCAACAATTTCTCTGACATTAAACACTTGACAACATCTACTTCATCTCTCTGTGTGGCATTCCAGGAAACACATCTAAAACCTGGAGAAAATATTTCTTTTAAAGGATTTGATCTCTACCGCAAGGATGATGATAGCCACAACCGTGCCAGTGGCGGTGTGGCTATTCTGGTTTCAAATCGCATTCCATCCTTACCAGTACATATAACAACAGAGCTGCAAGCTGTGGCAGTCAGAATTTCTATTGGAGTAACTGTCACAGTTTGTTCTATATACTTGCCACCAGATGTCAGAGTCAATGAGAATGAATTGGATGCCTTGGTTGAACAGCTGCCAACACCATTCCTTTTACTTGGAGATTTTAATTGCCACAATCCGATGTGGGGCAGTATCGACATCAATCGTCGAGGCAGAGCCATTGAGAGATTTATTGGCAATCAGCAAATGTATTTATTTAATACTGGAGAAGTGACATACTACCATGCTTCATCAAGAACGTTCACTGCCATTGATTTATGATTAGCAACTCCGAATCTGTTTTCAGCATTTACATGGGAGGTTGGATCTAATCCACTTTCTAGTGACCACTTCCCAATATTTCTAAAATATCAAGGCAGAGAAACCTGTGAAACAGCCTGTTTTCCATGCTGGAAACTTGAAATGGCAGATTGGCCTTCATTTTCCACTTTGGCTAACATCACTGAGGAAATGGTCAATACTGCTGATATCAATGATGCAGTTGAGGTTGTCACTTCGAGTATCATTCAGGCAGCAGAAAAAACAATGGGGAAGACATCAACTAGATATCCAAAACATCCGAAACCATGGTGGAACCAGAATTGTGAGGCAGCATTTAAAGCACAAAAGAAAGCATGGGGGATTTTTAGAAGATACCCCACTGCTGAAAATTTGGTTGCTTTTCAAAAAGCAAAGGCAAATGCCAGAAGAATAAGGAGGCAAAGCCAAAGGGATTCTTGGAGGAAGTATGTTTCAAGCATAACATCTTCCACTAGCTCAAAAGCAGTCTGGGATAAAATCCATAAAATTAATGGGAAATATGCTTCTCACTCTCTGTCCATGCTGGAAAATAATGGCACAATAATCAGCGATATACAGGGTATTGCTGATTTATTGGGTGAAACATTTTCTGCTTCATCCAGCAATATTGTGTATTCAAGGAATTTTCAAGCTTATAAAGCCCAAAGAGAAAAACAGTGTTTAAACTTTTACTCCTCATCTAATGAGGAATATAATGTGCCATTCACTAGAATTGAATTACATACAGCAATCTCTCGCTCGGGGAATAGTGCTGTAGGCCCGGATAAAATCCACTACAGCATGATTAAAAATCTGTCAAACAATTCCCTTTCTAATCTCTTGCATCTGTTTAACAGAATATGGACAGAACATACTTTTCCTGACTCTTGGAGGCTATCTATCATTATTCCCATTCCCAAACCTGGTAAAGATCACAAGAATCCCTCTAATTACAGACCAATTTCTCTGACAAGTTGTCTCTGTAAACTTTTCGAGAGAATGGTAAACAGGCGTCTAATGTATCTCTTAGAGAAAAAGGAATACTTTTCACCACATCAGAGTGGTTTCCGTAGGAACAGAAGTACCACTGATAACCTGGTAAACCTTGAAACATCTATACGCGAAGCGTTTGTTCGAAGACAGCACTTAGTGTCTGTGTTTTTTGACATAGAGAAGGCCTATGATCGCTGTTGGCGATACGGGATACTTCGTGATCTACACCAATTTGGATTGCGGGGTAATTTGCCAATTTTTATAAAAAACTTCCTACAGAATCGAAGATTCCAAGTTAGGATGGGCAACACTTTATCTAGGCTCTTCACACAAGAAGAAGGTGTTTTTCAAGGTTCTATTTTGAGTGTGACTCTGTTCCTAATTAAAATTAACAGCATAGCTAACTGTCTCCCTCCCAGTGTGAAACACTCTTTGTATGTAGATGACTTTCAGATCTCCTGTCAGTCTAGTAATTAGTTTCATTGAGAGACAACTTCAAACTTCCCTAAATCGCATATATGATTGGTCCAAGACCAATGGGTTTACGTTTAACGCAGCGAAGACATCGTGCATCCACTTCTGCCGAAGGCGTGGAATGCACCTGGATCCTGAAATTCACCTAAATGGCGATAAAATTCCAATGGTGAATGAGGCTAAGTTTTTGGGTGTTTATTTCGACCCAAAACTGATGTTTTTGCCACACTTGCGCAACGTGAAGAGTAGATGTTTAAAATCTCTAAACCTTTTAAAGGTACTATGCTGCTCATCCTGGGGAGCAGACAAAGTTTCTATGCTTAGGATTTATAGGGCCCTTGTTTGCTTTAAGCTGGATTACGGTTGCATTGTTTATGGCTCTGCGCGAGAATCTACTCTTCGGATGCTGGATCCAATCCTCCATCAAGCTTTGCGTTTGTGCACTGCTGCTTTTAGGAGTTCCCCTGTACAAAGTTTGTATGTGGATGCTTATGAACCTCCACTATCTCTCAGGAGAGAACAGTTGTCTCTATTTTACTATATAAAACAGAAATCTTACTCTAAACCTTTAGTTGATTGTACAGTATTAGATACTCAGCTGAAAAGATTATTTGAAGCTCGCCCAAGCAGTGTGCCTTCATTCGCCATAAGAATGGAGAATGTGAGCAGCACGATTGACCTGAACACAGGCAACATTTCACAGCTAGAGGTGTGTAGTATATCTCCTTGGTCAACTCTTGTGATAAATGTTGACCTTAGCTTAAAGCAATTTTTAAAGGAATCCACCCTGGATTATATCTACAGGCAGCACTTTGCAGAAATTCAGCACTGTGACAGGAATTTAATTCCTATTTATACAGATGGATCTAAATCTGATGATTACGTTGGTTCAGCCTTTGTCTGCCAGGATGAAATCGTGGCAGAACAAATTGCATTGAATTCTTTTATCTTTTCTGCAGAGTTGCATGCTATTTATTAAGCTTTAAAGTATATAAGTAGGAAAGGTCATCGTTTCTGTGTTATTTAAACTGACTCAATTAGTGCACTTCAGGCTTTTATTTCATGTGATCCTAGTTCTCACTCTATAGTGATTAAAATTCGTAAGCTCTTTTTCCATCTTACTGCAAGTAATTTCTTTGTAAAATTTTGTTCGGTCCCAGGCCATGTAGGTATAAAAGGGAATGAAGAAGCTGACGCAGCTGCAAAGTCAGCTACTCCTTTACAGCATATAATGCGTATTGAAGGAGTCGATTTGAAGCTAGTAGTTAAAAAATGACTAGCAGAGAAATGGCAAAACGTGTGGAATGCACAAGTCCACAATAAACTACACGAGATCAAGCCAAATATAGAAAATTGGACACACAATAAACAGTATGACAGGAGATCTGAAGTAATTCTTTGTCGTTTGAGAATTGGTCATACTCGGTTGACTCATTAATACTTTTCGAAGGGTGAAGACCAGATAGTATGCGTGTATTGCAACTGCTATTTAAGTGTAAAACACATGCTTTGCAACTGCACAGCTTTTGATCAAAGTCGTAGACAGCATTT